CACAAAGTGGGTAGAGATAGATAGTCACAACATTCCTTTCTCCGAGAATCAAGGACATTCAGCCTGCACCTGGAGAGCCATGACTGGGAGGCATCTCCAGCTGGGACTGTGGACAGATTGGACCATGTGATGGACATGTGGGTGCAGGGGAAGGGACTTTGACTTTCCTTTGGGTAGGGAAAACCCGGGGGACTTTCAGATTAGGGTTTATCTTGGGAAAGACCCAACACCCTCAGAATACATTAGAAATACCAGGTGTTTACTTGTTCAATTTGTATGTCTTTTATTGAAGGTAAGGATAGTAATATCTTGGTAGTGGGGGGGATAGGTATGGCTTTTATCAGTTCCATTTTTCAGGATTAAACATGGTTTTCCTTCCTGAATGATAGAATCTCTTAACCAGTTGAACATCTTCGGTTCTAAGCCTGCTTTTGGGATGGAAGACTTTTGCCATGCATGGCACAGGAGATTGGTGCCAGTTCCCAGTTTCAGCTTGTTAGATTAATTCCAAAGATACCTTAAAGTTGCAAGCACTCTTATCATACTTTAAAGTAAATCCAAAGTTTTTCTTCATCACTTTCTGGAAAAGGTGGAAAAATAACAACACACTTGTTCAATAATTTGTATGCCATAAGTTAATGAACCAGAGTGCAACACTTACAAAGAAATCACAAATAAAACCTTTGTATACAGGTAGTCCACAACTTATAACCCACACTTGAGCCCCAAATTTCTCTTGCTAAGTGAGACATTTGTTAAGTAAATTTTACTATCTTTCTTGGCACTGTTGTTAACTGAGTCGCTGCATTTGATAAGTAACACTGTTGTTAAGTGAATCTGGCTTTCCCATTGACTCTGCTTTTGGGAAGGTCACAAAAGGTGATTGCATGACTCTGGGACACTGCAAACTTTATAAATATATGTCAAGTGTCAAACATCCAAATGTTGATTATATGATCATGGAGATACTGCAAGAACCGTAAGTGTGAAAAACGGTCATAAATCACTTTTTTCAGTGCTGTTATAACTTTGAATGGTCACTAAGTGAACTGCTATACATTGAGGACTACCTGTATATAATGGATCTTTCAATAGCAGAAAGAGCACCATAATGTTGTTGTTCAGTTGCTAAGTCTCTGTGACCCTACGGAGCACATCATGCCAGGATAGCCTGCCCTCCACCATCTCCGCGAGTTTGCCCAAATTCATGTTCACTGTGTCAATGACACTATCTAGCCACTTCACGGTCTTCTCCTTCTCTTTTTGCGTTCAATCTTTCCCAACATCAGGATCATTTTTCAATGAGAGCACCAGAATAGGGACCAATTAAGCAGCAATTAAAGTTAAAAAGCCCTTATTGTACATTTTAGGAAAAATGTTCCTCAGTTAAAATAATCCAAACTGTTACTGTAATTTACATTCGCAAAAGAAATGTGAACGTGAAAGAAGCTTATAAGTAAACCCTGTTAACAGCAGATAATAATTAATATAAGTTGTCGAAACTTCATTTCATTAGTTGGACATTTTTTAGATGCATGAATCAGAAAGCCAGACAATTGATTGGAAAAATGCTTTATTAAATCAAAGCAGACCTAGAGCAATAATATCTTACATTTTCATGCAGTTAACCCAGTGTAACCCAATCTAATGCTTTTCAGATATGTTGGACACCAACTTCCCTAATTCCCAGCATTACTGAAACATTATGGGATCTATACAGATAAGAGTCACCAAATTTCAGAAGGCTGAGTTAACCAAATGAATCAGGCAACAGTTTAGACTTGAACTGAGCCATAGTCTACTGACAGCACAGCAAAACCTTTCCAACATATTACAAATGATTGATCATATTAATACAAATCCCCATAAAGAGTATTCATACTTGAAGAACACCACTCCAAGTCCACACGTTCTTCTATGTAAAAATACATAGAAAGCAGACATAGAAAGACCGGTGTTCCAAATCCATTTTTTTTCTTTATGTGTAAGAATATAAGCCAATCATTGCTGCGAAAGCGAAGACGCATATAGCAAAACCCAAAGGAACTGATACCTCCAAGAACAGAACTGGTGGGCCACAGCTAAGAACATAATTGGAAACATTTGTGCAACTCTAGACTGGTATTTACCACATGGCACTCCACCATGAGGAAGAACAAGAGGCAGACCCAAAAGAAGATAGAGACAACATCAAAGACACAATACAACATCAATTAACAATGGTTTAAGTTGCCAGAAGAGCAAGAGCCGAAACTCTGCATCTTGCTCAACACCAGAAGTGGTAAAAGAGGAAGTGAAGAAGGCTCTACCACTGTTTAAGATATATAGCATCTATGTTGTCTGTAAAACAATACAAAGATTTTTAACACATACTAGAAAATCAGAGGGTGTTAAATTTTATCCGCTGCTGTATTTTTCTCTGTGCTGAAATGACTGAGATCACTAAATTACAGGGGTGTGCAAAACATTTTGTTTTGAACCATTTCAAGTGCAAACCTTCCCAAACCCCTTGCCTCTCCAACAGGTTGTTTTCAGCTTTTTAGAAATGTTTTGAGCATGAAACAGAGTGTAGATATGTAAATGCCAAGAGCTACACATATCAGTGTGTTATGAACATCTCTTACAAACATTTAACTACAGTTACTTCCTCAGACTGAGCAAGGGACTTATCACTTACAGGTGAAAACTCTCAGTAATCTTTTCTGCTTGATCAGACCAGGGCAAAGCCAACTCAGCTTTACAGGTAGACAGTGCAGCTACTTGGGACAGCAACAAGCAAGGTCAGAATAAAAATCTCAAAAATAAGAAGTGTCCCCAATCCTTTGTATCATCAGTATCTTTTATTTTATTGATCAATTTATTGATCTGTTGGTTGATCATAATTGTTCAACCAATTATGGTCCAGAGTTTTCCTATCTGCTGTAGCAAATGCTCATACAACTCATTCATTACAATTTCATTATACATGTAATTTTGTAATTTTTTGTTCCATGACAGGCTATATCATCATTTGTTACTGAAACAAAATTAGAGAGAAGTCCTGTTTCTTATTTATATTTCCCATCAATGTTCAATTACAAACCTGTCAATAAGGTACTCAAATTAATAATTCAAAGCACAGCATTTTTTCACTAAAGTATATGTAATACATTACAAGAACCAATCTAACGTAGAAGGTAGCATCCTCATTAAAAAGAGGAAAACTTGGCTTCATCTATAATCTATGTAAGTGTAATAATAGATGCAGTAATGAAAAGATGAAGCTGACATCTGTGAAATATGTGCCAAAAAAATTTGACCTGCAACCTTTTGGAAGGAAACATAAAAACATGCATAGTATAGCCAAGTCTTACTCACTTGGAATTGCCACAGGCTAATAAATATGAGGAAAAAACACTCTCTCCAAAGCATGTAATTTTAATACAGTTGGGTGAGAATGGTTTGTTTCAAAAGCAGCTTTTTTTTCTTTCTGCTGTCTGGTACACACAATATTTACAGTATATAAAAAGCCAAGACAGTTGCCTATTATGGGCTTCCTTCTTGTTTTAACAGGATACAAATAACCAAGATCATGTTAAGGGATGTAGTTCTCAATTGATCTTTTCAAAGGAGCCTCAGGGTAAATTGTTCTATTATTTATTTGAAAGAATTAACTCCTGGAGGTGCAACAAGACAAGACTAAATGACCAACGTTTTCATTATTCAGATCTCAATTTTGGCCACCAAAAAATACACATTGTAGTAGATTAACTAGAATATATACATCAAATCTCCTGTCTCTTACATCAATTTATTTCTACATTTTATTATATTTTAGGAATATTTAACCAGATCAAACCCACTGAGAAAATATCGGTCCCTTATACACTCCACTCTTCCTAGTTTCATAAGAAACATAAATAATATCTAAACTTCTACTGCTCAGTTTAAATGTTATTTATGCTCCTCATGAGACTAATCCATAAAATTTAATCCAGGACACTAATAACATATCATTAGCAACAAGTAAATAACTGAGTGCTTCTTAATAATCTTGCAATTCACACACTCATAAAATCTTTTTTTTCCACTCATAATTTGCTAAAGGACAGAAAAAAATGACCGAGTGCTATAGCTCCCTCTCAGAAAGAGATGATAGAAAGATCATATTTAATTACTGCGCATTTCTATTTGAAGCAGAATTTAATCTGGAATAATATATAACTATTTATTTACAGTCCCAAGTAAAAAAAAGATATAAAAAAGAATTTAAAAAGTACCTTAAAATAATTAGCATGATCAAGTGTGAAATAAATCACATAAAATATGTTGCTAAGAAAATTAGGCAGATGAAAAAGTTATAAAATAAAAATTTTCAGTTGTATAAACCAGAACAGATGAATATCTAACATTTCAAACAACAATGAAGCTATTTGGTAAATAAATGTCAATAGCCAAGGAAAATGTATATTTTATTTTTTTAAGCATTTAAAGTGTTGCAAGCATCCAAAAACATAAAACTCATTTTGAAAAGTCTCAAAAAGTAAAGGCAAGGGAGGTGGAACAGTAATAAAGAACATTTTATGTGTGTTTTTTCAATCATTCAGTCCACCAAATATATTTTTGGAATACTTGAATACCTTGAAAAATCTTTTGCTTGGAACTAATCTGTAGCCATGTATGCATTACAAAAGAACTTCTCACCCAACTTCCAACAAGTTTACGTTTTTCTATCATGTTCAACTAAACATGATTAAACTCATTAGCAATTTAGGTGTCAGATATGGAATTCTAATTCATTGCTGCCACATAGCTTGAGAAAGTGGGAGGGGGGTGATATTAATCGGAATGGATGTTCCCTGGAACGCTGATATTAGGAGTAATTCAGACTAACAATCACATTCAGGTGTATATTAGTATGAAGAACCAATCTGCCCTCTGTTCTTTGTATACAAACCAACCTCATAGACTGAACAAGATTAATTAATCTATTATGCAAAACACTTTAAAATATAACTTACTGCTTGTCAGGTGACTTGGTGAGGTATGTTGCCCATTGGGTGTGCTTGAAGTAAGGTCAATCGCCACATTGGAGTGTTCCCTTTCAGGTGAAAGGTCATGGTCACCTATTATATTTTTAAAAAGTGTCAGTTTTTATTTAGAAAAACTGTTATTTGCACCCAGGACAAAACTGTTTCTGGTAATTCTGCTCCCAAGTTATTAGATTCTTCCATTCATTAAAGGCTAGGGTATAGGTTACAACTGCTTACAAGGTATGGCAAAAAGGTCTGTTTATTGGCTTGCTCAACATTAACAACACTGGTTTAATATTATGGTCTTGGGACAAGGCCAAAGAAATGTCCACACCCCTTCAATTTCACACTCAGTTCCTTTGCATACAGTGTATGGTTTATTTAAAAAAGAAAAAAGAAACACAAAGAGGGAAAGATTATGTTCCATATAGGCTGCCTACCACCTGCCTTTCAAGACATCTATACAGTGTCACTGACATGACCAAATTAACAAAAAATAAAATATGATAATAAAAAATGATCTTCATCGCCCAATAAGGCAAAAGCCCAAACAATGACAGGAAAATTAAGCTGATACTTACAGGGCAGGTATCCATCAGTAGCCTCCACTTCCATAATCAAAGTGCAGTGCTATAAAATAAAAAATAGACAGTCAAAGATGCCCTCACTCTGCCAACTCTTGAAAGATCTAGGTTTCTTAGTGAACTCTCCTTTTTGTCATAGCAGAAGGCTTTCTGCCTGGAATCTTTCTGAAAGTACCCAGTAATCAGAATAGGTTAATTTACTTTTTTCCAAAAATGAACCTTGTGGAGGTGGTGAGGGGGAATCACACACTAAAATAATTACTAACCAGATTCTAAATAAATCTTATTTAGGTCAGGAATGTGTTAACTGATTTAACAATCAACAGCTACTTCTACACAAAGGCAGGAGCGTATTTGTTAATAAATCCAACAGGGAATCTGAGTATCTCGAGTAGGAATTTTTGGACTGGTTTTTAAGTACTGTCAAATGTCAGTGCTACAAAGTTTCTTACCATTATGGTGTGAACAAAAAAATGCTGAACAAAAAATGGGAAATGTATGCTTCCATGACACTGATATAACATTTTTGCACAGGAACCAGTTTATTCTAGCTTAAGTTTTTAACCCTGGAGCAATTTTTAAAGTAGTTCCAGATTGCATGCATTACTGCAGTCTCAAAAGTTTTTTTGAAGCACTTTGCTAGCAAGGAGCACGCTATTACTTTTTATAAATCAAATAACCATATTAGATGACACTCAGTCATCTACTATATGAATAAAAATGAAATAAAATAAGGTAAATAATCAACATATTAAAGTGAAATTTAAAAGGAAAAAACCATGGCCGGCAAAAAATTGCATTTTCCCTCCTAGTTTCCCGGCTCCCTTTTGCCTTTAGTTTCAAAACTCTTATTACATCAAGCAGTTAAATTATTCACAATGAACCATTTCTGTATTGATTGCTAAGTATATTTAGCTCCAGCTCCTGGAATTTCTCCATTACTTACTGGAAAACAGGCAGCTCCATTTCTTGTCTCCTAAACCACTTCCCTTTACCTCATCCCCCTCCTTAAGAAAGACTTCTCTGCTGCGTTCCTTTCTCTTTGGCATACAACATATCAAATTCCCAAGATACTCAGTATAATGCTTAGATTTCATCGGGCAACGCTGCCATCGTGTTGATGTTTACATGGCTTTAAGAATAATACTTGAGATCTAAATGTTTTAGCATAAGAGCAATCCCCTCATGCCTTTCCAAAATTACCTTATCTTCCACCTTCAGCAGGTAACATACACGGTAACAAGGGGGGAAAGTTCCTAAAGCCCACGGGGGGAGGAGAGAAATACTATCCCAGCCAATGAGGTGGATAGCAAGGTAAAGGGGGGGGGGGGGGAGAGAGAGAAAGAAAAGTTCTATGGTTAAAAAAAAAAGTTTGTTCACCATTTCCAAATTCTGATGGCAGCTTCTACCCCTCCTCCCAACCAAAAACGAAGAGAAAGACGGAATTACAATACTCTGGAACTACAGCGAGATGGGGGCGCCTTTTGAAATAAGTCAGATCCCTCTCTTTTTCCCCCCCCTCATTTCCCCCCTCCCTCCTCCAGGGTTCAAGGGAAGATGGAGAAAACTTACAGGTAGACCATTCAGAGCAAGCGGATCGGAAGGGAAACAAAGCAAAAATGAAGAAGGAAGCTTCTTCTCTCTCCTCCCACCCCCCTTCAGGATGGGCTTGTTGGGAATGGCACGTACTTTCAGGAAAGATGAAGAACAAAAAAAGGGAGAGAGAGGTCAGCCAAAGCTACAGCAGTGCGATTAACCAGATGAGAGAAAACTTGATCCACCGGTTCCTTAAGAACCGAGAGGGAAGGGGGGAAAATCTTGGAGGAAAGAAGAAAAAGAAGGGGGGGAGCTGAAAGGAGTAGTAGATCACGGACTTGAAGAAGAAGAAGAAGAAGAAAAAGAATCCAGAAACCCAGGCCACTATTTTTGGCCCTAGCCAAAATAAAACGAGCTCCTAATTTTACCGGCGTCTGTTTCTTTCCGCGCGCTGTCAATTAATTTAAACACTGCATTTTTGAAACAGAACGCGTGGCGTGGCGTGCCACGAAATATTGTGTTATCATTCGAGGAGATTTCGTCGGGGGGATCCTCGCGCATCGTGGACGGAAGACTCTTAACTGCAACTGACAAGCCCAGTTCAGTTAAGAAAACAAAAGCCCACCGTATTAAAAAAAAAAAAAAAGTGGGGACGAATTAATCGATTAGCCTCCTAGAAATCAGAATTCTGTTGTTGTTTTTCTTTTCGGCATTCTTTAATCCGCATTCACCGAAATGGCTCGGCCAACATGAAATGGTCGTTTTCCAAACAGAACTGCAAATCTAGCCTTTTCGCCTCCTTATGTTATTCTAAAGCTTTATTTGGGGATTAAAAAGCAACAAGTCCTGTTGACCCCGAGGTTAGAGATGCTCCATAATTGCGTGGTACTCAGTGACAGACCTTGTCCGCCTCCCTGCCCTTCTCAGCCACACACACACCCCTATTCAGCAACGCATCCCGACGACGCTGAAGACAGAGCCCGGCAGGCAGCCTTTCCAGAGAGAAATCTTCTCCTTTCCATCCGCCACCAGCCGAGCCGAAGAAATAGCCCAACAAAGATTTACCTTAGCAATGCGCGTAGGGAAACAATTCCACCATCCTCCCGGTTTGTTTGTTTTGTTAATGAGTCTTTTCCTTTCTCGGTTTCTTTCCTAGGCTTAGCGATCGTGTGTTTGCGCCCCGCAGTTGGTTATGGAAACTAAGGCAGTGGATCTGTAGCTAAGGGTAATCCTGTTTTTTACTTCCTCCATCTTCAGAGAGCAGGGTTAGCCTGGGACAACTGGTCAAACCCCGAGAAACCGATCCGGCAACTCACACGCTCGCTCGCTCGTGCACTCACTCACTCACTCACACACACACACACAGAGGCATCACAGTTGTCTCACCCAGACACTCTGAGCTGGAGAGAGCGATCTGGGAAGCGCGTTGCCTGGCTTGGCAGCGCTGCTCAGCTGACTCGGCAATCGATTACAGGACAAGTCCCCGAACACGCCCGCAGCCTCTTTGCTCCCGAGCTCAGGCGGCTCTTCCCAGGCGGAGGCGCTGGGTGCCTGGGTAGACCCCGCTCCGCCACGGGAGCAGGGGGAACGAGTCCCATCGCGACCCCGGGACAGCTGCCGGCACGGCATAAACTTTCGGGAGAGGGAGGGGGCTTTTTACCGCTCCTTGCTGTAAAACTCTGCTGGTTGGGCACTGTAGTTCCAATGTTGCCTGTCTCAACATAATTGTAACACGGAAGCGAAATCGAATAAAAAGTGTGTGTGTATGAGAGAGAGGGGGGGAGAGAGATCGCACTGCAAAATAGTTTTAATATGGGCTTCAAACACACTAGGCTAACGTGATTGTGGTTCAGTACGTTCTGCTATCCTTGGCTGATCTCAAACATCTTAGCGTGATTGGATGCACCATGTGCAGAGATGGGAGACCCCAGGAATTCGCAAAGCTGTACGCTAAAAAATTGGGAATTTTTTTTTTTTTTTTTTTGCATATCTATAATGTATATCCCAGAAGGTGCCAGAATATTCCCATATAGCTGCCAAGAAAAATAGATGGATGTGCCATAGTAGCCCTCAGCTTGGAAGGAGATATTATCTTTTATGTTATGTGAAACCCTGTAGCTACCCTCAGTTTATATTTTAGTGCTGCCAAATGCAAATATTGGGTTAATTTAGTAAAATAATAGTTAATACCTTCACCAGGGGAGGCTCATTCCAATTTCATTGTACACATGTTGTGCATTGACAATAAACATTTGATTTGATTTGATTTAATCCAAGGTTAAGCATATGGTCTTAAATCAGTTTTAGCCTTCAAACTTGAAATAAACCAAGATCTCTAATCCAAGTATAGTACAGTATTATAAGACGTCTCAGAGCCAGAGCTCTTCAGATACATGTGATCTTGTTCTGTCCCAAATTTCAAGTTTTCCCCATTTGGGAGTGAGGACTTTTGTGGCCAACTCAAGGAAGGGCATTTTCCATATATTCAGAAGGACCTTCCTGTTCACTGTTTCTTGTGCTTGGTTGCTGAGAACTGAGATTATAACACAAATTCAAAGGCCTGACTCAGCCTTTTTGTAATCTTACCCATGCTTGAATTAATGTCTTCCTTGAAATGTTCTTAACAAGAGGTTTGCCATTATCTCCTTATAGAATGGATTTTCAACTTCCTAGTTTAATTTATACCTGGTGATTTCCAGGTGGTTTCCCATCCAAGGGCTAACAAGGTTTATTTCTGCTTAAATTGTTCAAGATTAGTAAAGTGCTGCCACCTGCTGTGTGCAATGCATGTCTACTCAAAAGTAAATTTCACTGACTGTTAAATTGATTTATAGGCTAAAATAGATTTTAAGTATATGAATAATAAATATTGATCCTTATGCCAAACATTTTAAAAGATAAGCAGATTGCTTCTCATATCACTAGCCCAATTTTTTTCAGGAAATGGCCAGTGGATTCCTCCTCACCACCACAGCCCAGCCCACCCCACCCCATTGATTTGTGTATAGCAGGGTTTAGTTTTCTTTATTGTCATTGCACCCCGTACAACGAAATCAAACACCATCTTTCAGTGCACATCATGACCATGAAAATAAACACAAACACGCATCCTTCACCCTTCACACATTGAACTGGAAACCTCCAACACTGCACTATACAGTAGAATTCAACAGAGCTACTGCCCTGGGGTAGAAGCTGTTTTTCAGCCTATATGTGCTTCTTTTTATTATTCTGTACCATCTGCCAGATAGTCATAGTTCAAAAAAAAGGATGCCCAGCATGAGATGGATCTTTGAGAATGTTTTGAACTTTTTTAGGTGGTGGGAGCTATAAAGCTCTTCCAAAGAGGGGAAAGGGCAACCAATGATCTTTTGGGCAATGACGTTAACCCTCTGGAGCAGTGGCCCCCAACCTTTTTTGTGCCACGGCCCGGTACCGGCATCACAAAATGATCCGCGGCCCAGTATCGGCATCAGCACGCATGACAAGGCAAGGCGAGCCGAGCGACCGGCCAGCCAGCCGTCCCCCGCTTCTCCCCGCCACCTTCAACTCCTCCTTTGTACCTTTGTCGATGGGCTTCGCTTCGGGACGGCTTCGGGATGGTCGCTCGGCTCGCCTTGCCTTGGGTGCTGAAAGAATCCTCGCACCTTAGTTTCGTTCGAAGCCCCCCCTTCGATGAAACTAAGGCGCGAGGACCCAAACGCCGCTTTCCAACTGGAAAAGCTCACCCAGAAGCACTTTCTCGTCAAACAAGATGGCGGCGCCCAGCAAACTGGCGGCCCGGTAGGAAATGTTCCACGGCCCGGTACCGGTCCGCGGCCCGGTGGTTGGGGACCCCTGCTCTGGAGTGCTTTCCTATCTGCCAAACCTTACAGAGGTGCAGTATGTTAAAATGCTCTCTATGGTGCAGCGGTAGAAGGTCACCAGCAGTTTCTCATTCAGTTTTTGTTTCCTGAGAAGTCTCAGGTGGTATAATCTCTGCTGGGCCCTTTTGACCAGGGCTGCAATGTGAGCACCCCAGGTCAGGTCCTCTTTTATGGTAACACTCAGAAACTTTAAAACTAGAGGGTAAAGGGATTTTGTGAGTTTAAGACATTGTAGTTAGCTGAAAAGGCCCATCTGCAATTATTTTGTTTGCACAGGAGCTGGGCTTGACTTCCTTTCTCTTCCTAGCATATTATGGGCAATAGAAGAGAGTAAAGATGAATGCGCTGCCCAATTGTCCAAATGCTTGGAAGTGGAAGCTGCGCTGCGTGGAGGGGCTTGTGGTGAATAAGGTTAAGGCAAAAATTGCACATCTAAAATACTTTCACAGGGATACATTAATATTCCATAACTGACCATTCATGAATAGATCTCCTTTAAATAATAAAATTGAATTCCAAACAACTCAGCCTCCTTTAATACCTATTACCTTTTTTTTATTTGCAGCAGAATAGAACTTAATTTAGGGATTCAACTGGTTACCATATTGGTTTCTGCCAATAATAAAGATAAAGAAAAACAGAACTTTTTGGAGGCAAGAAAATTGATCACTCTTGTTTAATATCTCTCTTATTTCAATCCATCCCTGTCCTGTTCCACTGCTGCATTTACATGACATATAGACTAGTTATTTAAAGACCAGTCTTTGAAGCTTGAGATGAGAATGTGTCAGGCAGAATGCCTCACATTACTTGAACCTTAGCTCCCTATATAATTTGGCCTTAGAAAAGAGAGTTGCTTTGATTTATCAATATAATGAAAAGTGAAGCATGCAGTATTAATCATTAGCATCAGATTTAATTAATACAGAAGGAATAACTCTTAAATCTGGAGTTTTCCCAAGATTTAGTTGTACTTTAACTCTGGTAAATATTGGTTTTTATTCTTAATAACCTTTTATTGACAATTGAAATAAAAGGAGTCAACAGCAAATGTATAATAACTGTCAAAATAATGTGCAATTATTTTTGTAAATCATATTTCAAAATCTCCACCTATTTCTTTCTACTTGTTTATTGATATCTCTTTTTCAGTTGCACATGGATATAGGATACTTACTTAGCACCAGGAGTTCTATATTTCTCATATTTCTATCCTTTAAATAAATCATTATCAAAATAAAGGTTTACAGTGGTACCTTGACACTCAAGTGCTTTGAAACTCATTGAATTTGGTACTCAATACATTTTGACATTAAAATTTTTGTCCTGGTACTCATTGTTTGCTTGATACTCGATGCACAAGCTAGACTTGTCAGTGTTGGTTGCCTTGTGACTCACCGTATTATTCCTTATCATGCCTCCCTGAACCAACTGATGATGAGTACTGAAGTATTTATATGGGATAGTGGACACAGTGTCATGATCAAAGCTCGCTCTCTTTTGTATATGCATGTCAAATTACTGTACATGTAAAGTGAGCAAGTCTTTGATCACCATGCAAGACCTACCATTTTGCTGTTTGGAATACACACATACACACAAACAGAGACACACACAAAGAGCCTTCTTTAAGTGTGAAGAAAGTTAGCACCCACCCCTTTTAGAAGAATGAAATATTTTAGGAAATATTAAAAAGGCAGAATATTATATTTCCCTGGATGAGAAAATGAGAAACAGTTTTTTTAAAGGCAAAGAGCAGCTTCCTGCCCCCAACAGATACTTGATGCACATTAAGACTAGGCCAGCCTATCTACAAAACAAAAGTCCTCAGCTCCATGGTGATGGGATTAAGACATGACCCTCCAGGACATAATAGGTTTATCTATCAGCAGAGCTCACAACATATCATAACCAAGCCCCTTCATTACATCACCCAGCAAGGTTCCACCAAACTTGATTCAGACAAACATGACTCCACATGGGAGTCTGACTGCAACTAATAAAATACATTCCTTGCCACAAGAATAGGAAATTCAAGTTCAAAGCCCAAGAGAGGGTATAAATAACACCCACTCTCCACTCCATGGGTTCAGCTTCCCCAGAACATCAAACCCATGTGGTCCTGTTCATCAATAAGCCATCTTTCCAATCAGCCTCCATTTTTCCAGTGTCTTTCTCTCCACTTGGAACTGAACCTAGATGGATATTTCTTTCAACAATTTGGCACCCCAGATGGGACTCCAAGCTAACCTGACCAACGGACCTGGCCTTGGGTAACCCTCCCTTGCTGGCAGGAACCCATTGAGTCTGTGGGTGGATTTTTCCCAGGCTTTGGCCATTTGGAACAAGGGTTTTAAAGGGGTTTTGAGTTTTGAGCTCAAAGGCTGCTTGGAAAGAAGGTGACTACCGTACCTCTAAATTTTAATTAATTGTATAGCCCAGAAAAGCATGAGAAATGTGTGTATGCCTGTGTGTGTGAGTGAGAGGACCCTTTTC